AACCGATGAACCAAACGTCATTGTGACGAACCTGGGCCACCTGAACCTTGCTGTAAGTAGAGTACGCGTGCGGGTATGTGTACAAACTAAGGTCCGGACGATAGTGCGCGCAAGAGAAAGAAAGGATGAGGATGAAGAGACATGAAGACAGAAGGACATGAAAGAAAAGAAGGGAAAAAACGTCAGTGGAGGCGGATGAAAGGGGAACCAAGTGAAAGGGGACAAACCGATGACAGTCCAAACCTCATTGAGAAACCTGTTGCAAAAGCCTAGTTTGCTTGTAAATACGCCACGCGCGAGGAAAGAGGGGGGAGGGGAGGAAGAAAAGAGAAGGAGGGAGAGAAGGAAGCAAAGGTGTTCCCAGCTACGGCACAAGCGTCCAAGGACACACCAAAAGGAAGGGCTCCCAGCTATGACGAAAGCATCCAGGGACGCCCAAGGAAAAGGGTGAAGAGAGGAAAAAGGGAAGGAAAGAAAGAGAGAGGGAGAGAAAGGGAGAGGAGAGAAAGGAAGGTGTTCCCAGCTACGAACAATCGTCCAGGGACACACCAAAGAAAGAAAGGGGAGATCCTGAGTATTACATTCAGGAAAACCCCAGAAAGCAAAGAGAGAAAGGGGGAGGGAAGGGGGAGAAGGGGGGCTAAGTTCTCCACGGGTTCCAATGAACCTCAAAAGAGCTTCGGTCGCTCTGACCACGTTGAGGCGTTAAGCCAGCTTGGACCGCTGCGGTCACGTAAAGGCATGAGCCAACTTGGAACCCCAAAGATGGGACAAAAATCATCGTACGTTCGGCCTAGGCCACCTGCTGCCCGCTTCGGACACTTACATCTCCAAAGCAAGGGAGATAACGACAAACCCCCGTTCCACGGGTCCACGGGAGGCACTCTGCGGGCTCATCCCGGGTTGGCACGAGGCCAAACACACTTATGGATATGCGTACTGAACTGATAGCGGTGCCACACGCCGGCCTAGGGTTCCATTTCCTAAGAGTACCGGTAGGAAGCCATCGAATCCTGGAGGTCTTAAAAAGAAAGGAGGCCCAAAGCGCAAGATCGAGGTCGGCGATCAGGTCGAAGTGACGGCGTTCCGTGCGTGACTGCGGCAACATGAAGTACCAAATCTTTGAGGTTCTGGGCTTAGCCTCAAGCCATTTGAAGAAAAATCGCAGGTACGTCACTGGACGTCTCCAGTGATATCAGTACCGCCACAGAAGCCTCTTCGTTGGACTGTCACTTCTGTGGGGTAGACAGTCCCCCTGCTGAAAAACTCAAAGAATCTGAAAGCGAGAACAATCCGAAAGGATCCCTGTGATTCCAAGGGTTACACACACAAATGAATGTTCCCAAGGAGGCCCTGCTCAATTCATTCCACTTCCACGCTTGGGAAGGCGACAACAGGTGCAGTATGGTGCAGTATATCTTGGACGACGGTTGCTCTCCGGGTGCCTCTCCTTTCCTCCTGACCCTGGACAACGACATCATGTGTTTCCCCGAGCACCATGACACCCCAAACAGCCTGACCAGTCCTCTCCGGACTGACCGGTCACCGAAGGACCCGAAAAAAAAGTCCAACGAACCAACGGGACCTGTCCTGACTGGGCCCCACGCCGAGCGCGCCCACCGACCGCTTGGAAGGGCTGCCGTCGGCCTGCGCGGCGCGCACGGCACGTAGCTCAGACCTGACGGCCAAGCCGACGCGGGCCAAGGGCGCCCAGATTCTAAAAATATACTCTCCTGACTCCTGACTCCTAATGTCCGATATTGATGTTTTGAAAGCAAGGTCAACAGCTGAATGCTGAATGCTGAGAACAAGCGTAGATGGACAACAAATAGATGAAGTACCCACATGAGACAGCTTGGTTGAAGTTGAAAGTCCAATTCATGGGCGGCAAGAGTTGAGATTGAGACACAATATAAAAAAGAAGTAACAAAAACATGGCAACGCCCGATGCAATGTTGATGGAAGAGCTATTCTCTATGATGTTCTTGTTTGTGTGCTTGTGTGCACACTTGATCTACAGTAGAATCTCTCCAGAAAGGGGTGACATACATATATTGTGTTGCATAATTTTCTTGTCCATCTGCTTCCTGGTATGGACTTGCCCCTTTGCCGAAAAAAATGTGAGGATGTGATCCTCCAGCGGGTTTGGGGCCGAATGTGACCTGAAATCATTGACAAGTCCGAAAAACACTCCCCGACTGGCCTGACTCGATTTTGGGATTCCTCACCATCAAATATGGTATTCCCTCGTTAAGAGAACATATTCACATATTCTACACTAGACCTCCTGGCCTGGTCAGCGGCTGACGCTTTTTTTCAATATCCGACGCTGCGCAAATACGCCTTGATGGCTCGTCGGTGGTTGCCCACCACTTGCAGAAAGCCCGAGCGTCCGTAGCTCGCACGCGTCCGGCACAAGAATTCGATTTCACGCTTCAAAGCCTCCTGGTCTCCACGAAGCTTCTTGACGACGGTCACATCCTCTGTACGGTTCTTCCTCTTCACGACATAGACCGGCAAGTTATCCGAGGCGGTTCGGTGCACTGTGAAGGGGCACACCGAGCGGGATGAGCGCTGGTGTTGCTTCAAGCGTCGTAGTCCACCATCGCTTGGCACGCTTACCATGGCCTCACTGGCAGATGATGCGAGCCACTGCAGTCTCTGACGTAAGGGAAGCAAAGAAGGCAGCGAAGTTCGAATCATTGGCTTTGGATCCTTTTCAGTTGGATCAAACTGAGCAAGAACAGCTGCACCATCTGCTGCGCTGGGTTGGAAAAACATGAACCTCACATCATCTTGCAGCTGGAGTGGTCTGTTTGCGTTGCGACACTGCGGGGAAAAACACTGGTGAAACGCATGGCCAATAACAAGTTCAAGACATCTGGTTTTGGTGTCCAGGGTCAAGCACTCCAAAGCCGCTGTACATGCCACGTAGATGACCAACGGCGTGCAACAGTCGTTGGACATTTCCGGAATCAAATCACGGGAGAGGATACCTTCAAAGCATACACTACCTGCTAAACCAAATACCTGGAAATTCTTAGGGCAAATGCAAAAAACCTATGGTTTTGGGACTTTGCCGAAGAATTCTTGGGGCGCTA